GAGCCACATAGAGGGATGTCTGTGAAACCACATCTGCTTCATGCAAAAGTCAGATGCTGTGCACCTGCGTGCCGTCCGCGTCAGCCCCTGTGCTCAGGCCTGCTGTAAAGCACCATGCCGCAACCAGCCCGGGAGAAACTTTCCCGTTTCTCATCATTTGGGCTGCTTGGGTTCTGTGTTTCTTTCAAGCCTCATTGCTGGCTCTCAGCTTGCTCTTCAAATTTCCGGACTGAGAACAGGTCCGGGCTGGGTTTGAAAATAGCCCTTCCTTGGCCCGGCACGTGGGAGTAGTGGTCCCTCGGAGACTGTCGTGCTGAAAAGTGACATCACCGCATGGCACCAGCAGTGGAGTCACCACCGGCTCTGCCACAGGCTCAGGGATGATGGTGTGACTTCATCTCTGTGGGAATTTCCCAGGTTTTGCAGTGCTCTTGAAGGCCATTCGGATGCTGGTGAGCTGGGCAAGGAGCCCGAGCCGCGCTCGCTGGGTCTGGAGTTGAATGCAAACTTTCCAGAAGTTTGAATGTGATCCGAGCTGAGTTAAGGCACAGGTGATGTGTGCCAGAGGAGGTGCTACACTCCCCGTGCATGTTCCTGGAGCGTTTTACTCTCCCTGCTGCCACCCTGGCCTCTGTATAGGACAGGAACTGAGGATGCTAGAGACCCTCACCCTGCGTATCTGGGTAGGGAAACTGCCCGTGTCTCGTGGAATGGAAGAATACCTAAAAATCAATGACACCACTCCTGAAGGGAGGGTAGCCTTGCTGCTTTGGTCTTGGAGGGTTTGGAGAGTGCTGCCTCAGGGTATTATCAGTCCACATTTAAGTCTGGGCCAGTGCTGCTTTGCACTTGTCAGAATCTTTTAGACATTAAAATGGTTATGCAAACAGTAAGTTGGCGCGACGTGTTTACTCTGGTAATTTAGGGCATAGATGCATGTTGGCTTTGTGGATGGTTGCAGCAGTTTGAGCCCTTTTAACGTATACTCCTCTATCGAACTGAACTGTCTGAAATTGCTACCGGCGGTTTGCGGTAGTCGGGCTGACTTTGCACTGAAGCGGACCTGGGAGTGGTCACATGTGCTGCTCCACCACCTGGGCTGTGATGGTGGAAAGCTTCCCGCTCACAGGCAGTGACAGCAGCTGAATACAGGGGGAAAGGAGCGTCCTTTGTGACTTTGTGTTGAATCACTGGAGGATGAACATCTAACGCTTTAATACGTGGCTTTGAAGCTGACGTTCTCCAGGCTATAAGGGGCTATCGTGATATCATCCACATAAAAATTGCATGATAGCCTTGTTTTTTGCATTCATAAGATTTTGTTAGTAGCTAGCATTAACTATAAGTAGTGAAGCTTAACAGCACCCTCTCCTATGGATGCGAGTATGTTTCTAGTCTCTATTCTGGCATCTTGTCTTTGCCAATAGCCCATGTATTTGTGGATGTTCTTATCTTGGTCTCATCATACTGCTCATTTCAGCTGCATTTATCTTCTGCTCCAGCTCGTCTGGCTCAGTCACATGAGAGGAACCTGAATTCCTCACCTCTGGGTTTGGTGCCAGCTGGAACTGGATATTTTCCACTGAAAACAAGACATTCAATGATAAAGTCATACCCAATGGCATCTGAATGAATGGTTTTTGTAGTAGGAAGTCATCTCTTCTCATTGTTTAGTGTAGGCAGTAAAAGAGAGCAATAACTTCAGTTTGCAATAAATTTGCTGCTCTGTGGTGGGTAAAATGGAAGTTTCCTAGAGCTAGAATTAAACAATAATTAGCAGCTGATAAAATCCCCCTGACGTCCTGCACCTTCTTTCATGCAGCGTGAATATTAAGAGCTGTTTATCAAGCTCAATTCCTGATTAGTATTCTCCAGTTTGTACAGGCCTGCTTCATGTTTCCTTGAAGGAGGAGAATTTATTTTAAAATACATAGTAGACTGAAAGATGACCTGACTTGTGAAATTAAAAAATAAACATTCCTAGTAGCTGGAGCATCCAGTGATTGTGCAGTGAGTTCTTAGTATTTCATGCTTAACTTAAATTATTTAGTGTTAAGGAGGAAGAATTTTAGGGTGAGGCATTTGAATATCAAATGGGTATTGATTCCCTTAAGGTCGTAAACATAGCAGATATTTAAAGCACGTCCTTTTGCCTTAAGAAATTATTTATTTAGTAATTCACAATTTGCAGTCGCAATTGAAGTTTAGTTCTGTGCATGAGTGCATTGTAGGAAAGCACTGTACTTACTTGGAATAGCTTGCTCCAAAGCATATAAGATGCACTGATTTTATGAAGCTATTGCAAGACCAGTTCTGTGGCTCTGCCACCTGTGGGACTGAAGGTGCTACCCCCACGGGATGAGGGACTGTAGCCCAGTGCAGGGCTGGGGACTTTCTCCATAACTGCAGATTCGCGGGAGTCACGTGCTGTAAGGCCCCTTGAAAAAGCAGCGTGCAAGGGGCATGGGGCTCGCCAGCGGGCAGCATCAGCATGAGGGTCGAGGGTGCATCTGACGCTGCTAGGGAACGTGTCCGCTACATCCGAGAGCCCGGTTTTGGGGGACCGTGCAGAGAGCCCTCCCCCGGCTCTACGGGCAGCTAGCAAGGGCAACTCTGGGCCTGCTGAGCGCCTGAGTGTGGGACGGCTCTCTATGTTTATCTGATATTTCCTGCTGCCTCCTTATTCCATTGCATTTGCGTGACCTCAGGTTCCCACCGGACTGCTTTTCTCGTTCTCCTCTGGGATATCGTTAATCACTTTTGCAGCCGCCCATTTAAAGATCTGAGCAAAAAAGTGACGAGGTAAGCTGATGTAATATTCGCTGCTCGTGAAAAGGTTATGGGTCCAGCTATGGCAGCAGAATCGAATGATCACCAAACTCTGATCTCTAAGGGAGGGAAATGTGATATTCAAGGCTTTTGAAACTTCTAGACCTTGCTTTTAAAATCTGGCATTTTACAGATCTTTTCCGAGTTCAAGCAAATGGTTATTCTGCGCTATTTTAAATGGTAGCTTTCCAGAAGTAATTTGATTTACACAAACAAGCAAAGAAAATCAATAGCCATTTCAGATTTTGCACCTGCGTCCCACCAGGCAGGTTTTAAACCCATACGTTTCTCACTAAACAGAAGTCTGAGCTATGATTAAAGGCTCTTCTTGCTCCTGCTATAATCTACCCATGAAATAGAAGAGAAGTAAAGGCATCTATATGTTGCCCAAACCCACGTTTGCAAAACCTGAAGAGACCCGAGGCGCAGAAAGCTTTAATTTCTATCTTAAATGTGCAGCAAAATCCTGGCTTGACTGAAGTCGGTGGCAATTTCCTTCCTGCAGAGCCTGGATTTTGGAGCTGGGACTGCAGTGGGACCCTGTTCTCGCACCATGTCCCTGCACCAAACACATCCAGTCCCCTTCCTGCTGCATCAGCTTGCCCAGAATATCACCTCGCACGTGGCTCCTCGTCCCTCTTTCCATGGTGATGGAGAGACCGAAGGCATGTAGGAGGGAGAAAGCTGGCAGCTGGGGCGGGAGGCGTGCTGGCGTGAGGGTGGAGAGCGCCCTGGAACAGCGACCCTTCGGGGCTTGCGAGAGCGTGAGCAAACTCCCCCGGGATCCAACACCATCCCTGATCCCTCTGCTTCTAGCTCCAAGGGAAAAACACGCGCTGCTGAGCCTCTTTCCTTAATATAAACACAGAGCTGCATGCGCATATTAAAAAATAAAAATAAAAATAGTCGTCCTACTTGCTTGGCACTGCAGTGCCCTTGGGGAGAGGAGGAGGAGAACAAGCTGAATGTGATGGGAGCATTGCACCACTTACTGCACCCCTGAAAGGTGCTGAGCTCTTGAAGCAGGCTGTTAGCAAATTTTGGAGATGCATGGTTTTCATGCGCCCTGAAGAAGAAGGTGAGGAAGCCTGAGGTAATGTGAAATTCAAAAAGCCTGCATGGCTGTCTCCTGTGTGTTTTGTTTCTAGCTTTTGGAGAAAAATGCATAACTGAAGAAAACCAATAAACTTCACTTGCCTGTAAACTGTGTTTCTCCTGTCCCCATCTCTAGTCCCCTTTGTGAGAACCCCAGGCCAGAAGTACGATGTCTGGAGTTGCTTTTGGATCCCAGTCAGCTCCCATCTGTCATGATCTGTTTTTAATCAAATGGGTTTTCCATCTGAAAGTAGCTGTTGGATAGAGAATGAGTAGAAATATTTGTGTTGTGAATTAGCCCAGAATGAAGCAACAAACTTTTTTTGCACAACAAACACATGGAAAAATATTCTTCAGTGTAGCGTGGCTGGCTCAAAAATTGGCAAAGGCAGCTTCCTTCCCAGGCCCTGACCCCGCTGGGTTGTCTGTGGGGGAAGTCTTTAAAGAGGACCTCAAATCTTCATGTTACTTGTTCTTATCAGGCTGTTGTGAGCCAGGGCATCGCTGTTATCACCACTACGTGCATGGATACTGAGGGAGGGAGGTGAAATGACTTGGTTTTCCATGAGAAATCTGAGATGCAGTTGAGGAATAACCTGAGTTTTCTGAGACTCAATCTTTCCTTTGCCGACTTGGTGGGACCACAGGATAGATTTGATGTGGTAACCGAGTCAAAGTCAGGATCTTAGCCCTCACCTCAGCATCCTATAAAAGGCTGCAGACCTCCCTAACAGTGCATGCTCAGCCTATTCTTTTCTCAGATATAGTGAACTTTGGCTGGGACAGCAGGAGGGGGTAAACTGCTGTGGGGCTTGAGTGGGGTCGTGCCAAGCCAAGAAGGAAGCGAGGAGATCAGCAACCTGTGCCGCTGTTGCGGGGAGAGGGCAAAAGCATGCTACCAGGGACCAGGAAACTTGCTATTATTCAGTTAAAGCTTTACTCCCAGAGAGAGCAAAATCAATAGGAGCTGGTGGTGGGAACTGGTGGGAGAACGCCTTGGGCTGTCTCCTAACAGCTCTGCTAAAAGCCATGACAGGGCAACAGCTGTAATTAAGGCTAATTCCGCATCCAGGGTTATGTTCCTCGTTGTGAGTAGAAGTGGCCAGGGAGACGCTGAATTTGCCTGTTCTGACAGTCGTACCTTTGAATGTATGCTGTGTTTCAGGGCCCATGTTAACTTGTGCTGTCTTCTCTTTTCCCTGAACAGGTCTATATCATAAATGTAACATGGTCTGACTTGACTTCCCAGATCATCTACAGGAGATACAGCAAGTTCTTTGACCTACAGGTAAGTCTGTCTTGCATAAAACATTATTTCTAGTAATTTTCCAACTGGTAAAATCATGCACTTAAGTAAGGTTTTGTGCTTGTTTGGTTTATTACATGTCATGATCTTGGAACTTTTCAGATTCTGTCCTTTCAGGGTGTAAGATAAGTGGGTGGCATGCTCACAGTGAGTAACCTGCACTGCAAAGCATTTAAAGCTGATGATTTCGGGAACGGTTTCTAATTTTAAATACTTTAGATGCACTGAGAACGCATGCTGCTGTCAGACATCTGCATGGCTAGGGAGAGCTTTCTGCAGTAATCCAGATCTAGTGATACCTGTGTGGCAGTGTACCTTTGCAGGTAGCCAGACTGTAAGTGTCTGGGGTTATAAAATCTCTCTTTGCTGGCAGGCAGAAACAAAAGCTCTGGATTGACGCGCTCCTGAACTTTGGGGGAAATGTCAGTTTTGGGCTGCAGCTTATGGTTGAGGCCAGCTTGTGGCTAGAATACCAAGTGAGTCCTCACAGGCGGTATCAAGGACACGCACAACTGGCTGGGCTGTGTCCTGGGAAATGACGTTGAGCCTATTTGCCATGATAAATCAGGAAGAAACTAGTTTCTCCCTTGGGTGCTTGGTCTGAGGTACCTTAAAGAGTCCTAGTTTTATCACTGCTTTCCTTTTATGTGACTTTATAGTACTTGGACATCTGAAGTTACTAGACAATTTTGAAAAATACAGGCTATGACTCTCTAGCTTTTTTGGAGGAAAAAATGGACTGTTTCTGTAGCCAGTCCTAGGTTTCTTGTTTGCCATCTGGCTTGAAGACAAAAGGGGGATGTTCTTCAGCTTCCTCTTGTGCCTCTCTCCACTCCTTACTGGCCTGAAGCTCCAGGCCTGCCAGTCCCACTGACATGAGCGGTACCTCTTACGTGAAGCGGCTGCTCTGCACCTGATGAACCTGCTAAAGATGCCTAACTCTGTAATCCCTCATATTTGTTGTCAGTGTGCAGATTGTGGCCAAAACTGCTTCTTTCTCTCTCTTCTTTTTCCCCAGTACTGTTTTCATGTATATGTTCTTCTGGGTCTCCTGGCCTTTCCTGGTAGGTTTGAAAAGTTCCCATCAAGCTTGGAGTTATCAATGGGGTTAGTGTGTTGGACAGGAAATGATGTCTCAATCAGGGAGCGAGTCCTGAAAGGTCCCATTGATAAGTGCAAGGGGGCCTCGCGCCAGTGGAAAACTCCCGCTTGCACAACACTTCTCCCCCCACGAGAAAATACGACAAGAAAGTAGCAAAATTCCCTCCTTTAACCCTTTTCCTTCCCAGGGATCTCTGTCAGGGCCACCGCTGCGTGAGCAGTGACAGCCCTCTGCACCAGCCTCTTTAGCTCTTGCGGCACAAGGCTCATAGTCAGTGAGACTGAGGTCTTCAGCCCAGGTTCCTACGGTCTCCTCATGTCTCCCTGAGCATATCACTGCGTCTTTATGTCTCTGTTTCCCAGCTGTAAAATGGGGACAAGGCTGTGTGTGCTCAGGCTGCTATAAGGTGCTTTTAGACTCATGGAGATGCTGCTTCTTTTTTTTTTTTCCTGTTATTTTTTCTGGGCTCTTAATGCTGCCAGAGCATCTCCTACGGGAGGAAAGGGAAATAAGCTTTGGATCTTGAATTGCCATGTGGATTTACAATTCTAATTTTGAAGCCTGCAAAGGGAATTAGAAAAGCAAGTAAAAGGTCAGGGCATTTTGAGAAACCCTTGCACTTACCACTTATGGCTTCATATGCAGTCATTCTTGCTGAAGGGCAAATGCTGTGTTACCCACAGCACATGGGTAAGCAGGCACCAAAAAGATAAAATTAACCTCATATAACAACTCCACAGCCCCTACTCCAGCTGCTTGCAATTGCCCATGCTTAATGCTTGGTTAATAGCTCCCTATATCTGATGGACCTGCTCCTGGTCTCTCCCTGGCTTCAGGCAGCTGCAACAGGGACAGCTTCTTGGCATGTTTTTTTTTTTTTTTTTTTTTAAATAGAAAATCTGCCTAGTATTATAAAGCAGCTGTTTCAGGATTTAGGAGTGGAGGATTCCCCATATTTACTGTCTGAACTGTGATCAGCCTGTAATGGGAATCTAGGCTGGGCTGCATCTTGCAGTGTGAACGATAGTTAAGATTCCCTGAATAAATGAGCAATGTTTGCAGTGGCAAGCCTGGAGGAGACCGATATAGCGGTGCCAGTGCCCATTTCCCAAACCCTGCATGTGTCTGGACCTGGCTCTTGGCCATAGACATGTGACAGGTGTTAGGGGTGCTACCTGCTTGTTGAGGATTGAGGTGGTCCCCTGGGATCCCCTTTACTTTGTTCCAGCCAAGAGGGTGACCTGTGATCTCCAGATTTTTGGTGGAAGCTTGAACTTTCCCCCCAGCATGGCGGGACTGGTTGCACCTGGATTTTGCTACCTGATGCCATGCATGGTAGGATGGCATGCTGTAGCATAATGGATCTAGTTTGGTCAAGTCCCTGCTTTCCCCTTGTGACGCTTCCGGCAGAAAATCAAGCAAACACTCGGTGAGTGGTGCTCAGCCAAATCACAGCACTGCTCGCGTCCGAAACAGCTGGAGCCTGCAGGCCTCTGGCAGCCCCACTTGTCCCACCGTGTCCACGATAGAGCTGCGCTTCAGGGCTTCCTGTGCCTGCATGTGTTTCACTTTGCCCTCAACTGAAAGTGGAGTAACAGGGCTGGCTTGTAATGACTTAATCAGGGCTGCGATGCCTGGTGTTGACAGTGACATCTGATAGGACTCGTGGGGAAACCCGGAGGGCTGCCCAGGGGCAAAGGAGGAGGAATACAAATAATTAATTTCACTACTACAGTTTCATATATCTTTAAAAAAGAGCCTACCCTATTCTAAATGGCAGTATCTGTGGGAAATGGCTCAGTGGTTTTGAGGGCCCTTGGATTACTAGGTTTTGGGTGTTTTTTAAACACTTCCTAGCAAATCCTCCGAGGCACTGCAGGCAGGAAGAGGCTGCTCTGTCCCAAAGATTCAAATCCCAGAAAAGTTCAGCAGTGCAATTTCAGCATATGTCCGAATTGGGAGCCAGGCTATTTTCAAGATAAGTAGTAGGGCAGAGAATCTGGACGTGCCATGAGATTTTTGGAGCTGCAGGTTGTCCCATGAAGGTATGAGATATACAGTGAACAAAACCCAATGCAACAAGCCAAATGCCAGCCCTGTGCTACTTGTTTGAGGGCTGGGGATCTTTAATTATGGGCTTAAATTAAATCAGGGCTTAGCCGCACCATTTAATTGTGCAAGCAAGTTGCATCTGCTGGTGAGCGTGGGTCAAACTGTGGCAGCAGAACACATGCTGGTTGCCAGCATTTCAGTAAATAGGATTGCGAGTATTGAATTAACTCAGCATAGATGAAAGCAGCGTGATAAATTACTTGTCAAGTCCAATTATCTATTGTCTTCCACCCTGGAGAGGCATTCGCACCTGAGCAGTGTGTGGGGTCAAAGCCACCTTCTAATGTAGTTATTTTAAGTGCTGCTCTCTCATGCACTCTGCACCTGGGTACTTGGCTCTTGGGCGGCATGTGGGAGCACACTTTCCACGTTATCCCTGCATTTTGGTTGATGATAATCCTGCCTGTGTACCCCCTCCAGCGTCCTCCTTTGCTGAGCCCCATGTCTGTTTGGGGACAGACTCCTCCAGCCAGATGTGAACATCTGTCTGTGGCCAGTGCTGCCCCTCGTGGCAGGCCGGTAACTCACTGCAGCATGTTGGCTGGTTGTGTCTAAGGTCTCCCACTGTTGCTGGTGGATTTGCTGGTGGTGGGAGCAGAGTCCTGCCCTGAGCAGGTAGATCAGATCAGCAATGTTCCCATTGTCATCACAGGAGCTGAGAACCAACGTTGTTTTATTGGGATAGCAGGGATAATTCCTGGCATTTCTACTCTTCTTTATGCAGCAAAAGACACTTACAGATGTAAGGCCCCAATTTTTCCTGCTGGAGAGCACTTTTGGAGGCTTTTAGGAGGATGGGGACTTGCAGCTAGGCCTGTGTGATTTTTAAAAAAATATCCATATATATTACCCGTGGTGTAAGGCAAAGGGTGCAGCCAGCTCTTGCTCCAAGTGGCCATGCTTGGTTGGGAAGCAGCAAGAGAGTTTGCAGCTATAGCAAATATGAAGGGTGGCTCTTTCCCCCTTACCCACCTCACCCTGCTAGCTGCTCACCCCACCTGACTGCTGCCCCTCTCTGCCAAGAAACCCTCTCTCCAGCAGAGCAAGCTGGACAAATGTGGCCATGCTTCAGTGCAGAAACTACTGTCTTAGCTTAAATTGCCTGCAGCGATGGATTAGCATGAGGCGAAACAGCAATGTTATAGGCATGTCCATCCTGTCATCTCAGCTGTGGTGTGTTCACCTCTCACATAAGGGCAGGGTGACAGCTAGGGACAGCAACATCTTTAATTGCTGTAGTGAGATTTGCTGAAGCTCATCTGTCTGGCTCTGAAGACTAGCAAGCAATGGATCAATGCCCAGATTGAAATGTCTGTAGCTTATCTTCTGCGTTTTGTCTAGCGAGTCCAAATGTTCTGGCCTGATTCATGCCTGTATTACTTGGTGCCAGGACTCCGAGTAGGATCGGAACCAGAGTCTGGGCAGAGGGACCAAATTCTGTGTTCAGATATCCAACCCCTCCGTTGCTCTCGTGAGAGCTGCCAGGTCTCTGTATACGGAGCTGGGGAAAGATCGTTTCTCACAGCAGTGAAACGCAGCTTCCTCCAGGGCAAAACACCGCAGCTGGCTTAGCGGCACGCCGTGGTCCCACGCTGTGCGTCTGGCCGGGTGAGAGAGGCGAACGGCGTCCCCGCCGGAGCAGCGACAGGAATGTTAGGTAGGCAGGAGGCAGGCTCTCAGCACCACGACCCACAGAGACGTTCTGACCACAAGGAGACATCCGAAATGTCACAATTTTGAAAAGGCAAATAAACAAAACTCTGTTCAA